TTTTACGTGAAGTGGCGTAATACTTGGTGAAAAACGCGATATTCGCGCTATGCAGTAGTCGTGAAATATGTTTTTCACTAGTGTTTTTTATATCACTAGGGTGAAACTCCAATGCTATTCCCTCCATTGATATGTCTTCAATACTGTACAGTGTAATCTTGTGTTATTTTGTATCCATAAGTTTCCCAATTGATCTATTCCTCTTGGCTATGTTATTCCTGTTTGCCCTACCCCATAGGCATCGGTATCGACAGCGTGGTCTCCCACAGTTTCGTGCATAGCCACAACTACCACAACACACTACGTCCCCAACTCTTTGTATATCCCGTGAAACCTCGAACCATGGGGACTGGGAGCCGGGACGCTCTCCGCGACTAACCTGAAGGCGATCACGATAGCTAGGGCCTCGCGGAAACGGTCCTCACTGCGTCGTGAATGATCATACCTATAGGTTGCGCCGTCGGCTATGCTCAACAGGGACGCAAGCTGTATATCCCTGCTGTGCGTAGCCGACCGTGTACGTAACCGTGTACGTATAGCGGGTAGCTCAGCGAGGGTCCCCACCCAAATATCGGGTATAGACCCCCGTAGTTTCGGTCTGGGGGCTCGGTGGCAATGTGAGAAGCATGAGTGTGAAGTTTAGAACTAATAGACGGAAAAGGTTCACAGGGTGAAGCTTTCTCGTGTGAACTTCACACCCCCTTCTGCCCTTACTCTGGAGTGAATCATTTTCTCAGGCCGGGGTCGGTTCTAGAGGGCAGCCGTTACTCAACTTGCCGTTTCTGCTGTTTTTCGGGTAGTATATCAACTTGATATTATCAAGCGGTACAGTTCAAACCTGGGACTTTTCAACTCGGGCGCATTTTACCATACAACTTCCGACTCGGTCACCGTGTTTCGGGCAATACAATACTTTCATGCACTTCAATTCCATACAGTGCAAAGTTTGCACTGCAAACTCATGCAGTTCATACCATCCGATACTTTGACTATTGTTCCGCGAACCATTCGCGGAGCAATATTCGAACAAACCGCGCGCGTTCCGCGCGGGTCATGACAACTGGTAGCGGCATTATCTTCTTCCATTCCACCGCAGGATTATTCTTCTGATCCACGGGATATCAGCGCCTGCCTTATTTTTTCCGAGCTCGGCTTTCCTTGTGTAACCGTTTCGTTATTCCTCGCAAACTAAACTCCAATCCTGGCAGACCTTCCGACACCTCAGGGGGCCTCACGTCATCATTACGTACTCGTTCCCTTCTCAGCCATCTACCCACATCCTTCATGCCTGCCATCACTCGCAATCAGCGGGCCGTCTGTGAGCTGACTCACCAAGCCATTCTGC